AATGCCAACAGCCACCATAAGCTGGAAGAGGCAAAAGACAGATGCTCTCCCAGAGCCTGCAGAGAGTGTGGCCCTGCTAACGCTTGCTTTGGGTTTCTGGCCTCCAGAACTGAGAATGCATTTCTGTTGTTTTAAGTCACTAAGTTTGTTATGGTAGCAACTGAAAACTAGTGTACTTAGTGAAATTAGAATATTAAGAAATTCATAAGGATGTAGAGTGTTATTAAGGAACCAATGGCTGAGACCTGATTGGCCCAATAGTCAGGATAGTAAACACTTGGTTACCCACTCTGCTTCATTGCCCATCTCCCATTCAGCATCAGTCTCAACCAATGTCCTGCTTCCTTCTACATTGGATCCTATGATTTTGCAGTATCAAACATTCAGTTTCCCTAAATGCCTGCTCCCAAGCTTTCCCTTGTATTTACCTATTTATTCTCCCTTAAAATATGCCTGTTCCCAACTATATACCCCCAAATAGACTTTCCCCATACAGTTGCTGCAGTGACAGGGCCAGTTCGGGAGACAGTTTGGTATGGTATCAATGGAAAGAGAGTGGCCATTACTACCAATCTTAAAGAAATAAAAAGAATTGTAAGGAAATACTATGCAAGAGGTTCTGCACTCAATTCTGATGAGTGTTTTCCCCACACTACCAACCAATTGTATAGGGTGCCATCTGGATATCCTATAATTCAACTCAATCTGACACTGTCTACCCAGAGATAGCATCAGATTACACAGGTGAAGGGCTCAGCCCTACAAAGACTGCCCTTCAAATGCCAATGACAAGCCTAGGTTTTACCCTGTGCTGACTGTCTATACTATAACTCAGAGGTTCCAATGACTCCCTCCTTGGATTTAATGACCTCGCTAGAATGGCTCACAAACTCAGGAAACCTTTATTCACTAGATTATCACTTTATTACAAAGGATATATGATCCAGGGCCAGGTGAAAGATACACAGGGTGAGGTTTCAAAGGAGCGTTTATCCCCATGGAGTTTGGGCATGCATGGTGGGGTTCTGGTTACCCAACCTAGAAGCTTTCCAAACTTTCCTTTTGGTTTTTTATGGAGGCTTCATTACATAAATCATTGGTCTGCTGGTGATAAAAATATAAGCTACGACCTCAGTTAAGTTTATTCAGATGCTTTCATTTAATATTCAAGTGCGGGAAAGTAGCCAGCCACATGGGCGAGTACTGGCTTGAAATAGCTGGTCAGCAAGGCTATTCCTCTAGAGCAGGGGTGGGGTACATTTTGATATTTATATGAAAGGGCCATTTTTTTCTGCCAGGGGCCATTTTGATATAACATTCGTAGGCCATATAAAATTATTAGCCTGCTATATTTGGTCAAACATTTCATTAACTCACCCTAATGCCTTGCGGGGCCAGACCAAATGATTACTTCCCAGGCCTCATAAGGCCCGCGGGCCGGAAGTTCCCCACCCCTGCTCTAGAAGCCCCCGGGGACGGATCTCCTGGAAGCACCTCTACCCATGCCACCCCCACCTCCACCCCCAATATAGATAAATCACATTTTGTTTTTCCATTCACCATTTGATGAATATTTAAATTGTTTTAATTTGGGGCTATTGTGAATAATCCTGCTATGGACTTTCATGAACAAGTCTCAGTGTGGACATAGGTTTTTACTTCTGTTGGGTGGAAACCTGGGAATGGGATTCCTGGGTCATATGGTTGGTGTACATTTAACTTTTTATACACCTGCCAAACTGTTTCCCAAAGTAGCTGCACCATTTTACATTCTCAACAACCGTGTATGAGGGGTCTATATTTTAAACAAATGTTTTATTAACTTTTTTTTTTTAGAGAGTAAGGGAGAGGGATAGAAAGATAGAACATCAATGAGAGACATTGATGGGCTGCCTCCTACATGCTCTCTGGGCATGTGCCCTGACCAGAATTGAACTGGGGATCTATTGGTTCAAGGATCGATTCTCAACCACTAAGCCACACCAGCTGGCCAAGAGTTACACATTTTGTACCTCTTTGCCAACTAGAAGCTCTTATAGCTGGAGTTGCTAAGCTGTGAGAATGTGAGCTTGCTGATACTGTTATCAGAGAATTGCACGGGTGGAATTTCTCCATTGCTAATGGAAGTGGGGTTCTTAAGACATCTTGAGCCCTAACTGGTTTGGTTCAGTGGATAGAGCATCGGCCTGCGGACTGAAGGGTCCCAGGTTCAATTCCGGTCAAGCGCATGTACCTAGGTTGCAGGCACATACCCAGTAGGGAGTGTGCAGGAGGCAGGTGATTGATGTTTCTCTCTCATCGATGTTTCTAATTCTCTAACCCTCTCCCTTCCTCTCTGTAAGAAATCAATAAAATATATTTTTTAAAAAAAGACATCTTGAGAAAAAGAGTTTTCTAAACTCACATGAAAGAATGAGTGATTTTTATTTGTGTACCATTCTATCCCTTGGTTTGCAAAGTTCTATTTCCCCTAAACCAGTCCTGGGAAATGTGCAGTTGGGGTTTCAGTTGAACTAGAAGCAAAGCCAGTGTCCAAAGTTTTTGTTCCATGGTGGAGTGGAATCCGGCACAGCATCCAGCTAATTCCAGTCCATCAGTCCATTGTGTGTGGGATCCACATGGCTGTGGGCCATGTGGGGAAATGCAGGGGAGCATGTCCCTCATCATCCTGCAACAAGAGAGCCAGGAGCCCAGCA